TATATATATATATATATATAAACTACTACTTACTACTCGTACTTCTACTCTCACTTCTACTCCTACTTCGCGGTTTTTCACTTATTGAAGGGCTTCAGGGTATGGATCCCCTGCGATAAACGAGGGACTACAGTACTGTTTCTAGTGATACAGTTTAGATGCAGCTCTTATCTCTCCTGTGATGCTCTTCTGAATACAAAACCTCCCAGATTTCAAAGCCCAGAGCTCTTTGTTGTGGTATAAAGCTTGACAGTTGTCTTATAAACAACACAGCAGGCATGCAGCAGTTCAATCTAAAGAAAATGTTTAGTCATTTCTACCTATCTGATCTGGATATGATAAAGTGATCCATAAGAAGCATGCAGAGTAGGTGAAAGTTGGACAGCTACCTTTCCTACCTTTCGTGTCCTCCTCTTCCGCATTATTACAGCTCTCTGTGGAGCCCTGTCAAACAGAAAGGGTTAAGACAAAAAGAGGTACAGGCAAAAAAGGAGGTGAGCGTGGGAGGAAAGACAAATATTCATAAAGGAAAAAAGAAAGAGAGCAAGCATATTTTGTTGAATTTTTGACTGGAACAGAGTTTGACAGGTGGAGACACGTTACATATAAGGACAGAGTCAACCTGATAAACAGATGGGACGGGTAGGAAGGACTCCCTCCCAGGAGCACAAACCAGCCAGGACAGCAGCAAGGGGAGGCACAGAGAGCCACACAACAAAGAAACAATGTGTGTGAGCCATTTTCAGTCACTAATACTGTGTAAGTGCCAAACTGCCCTTCAAGAAAAAGCACGCCCGGGTGACACCGTGCTAATAGTGTCAATTAAAAAAACAACTTGTGATAGCAGTTTGTAAACCAACGTGAGAGTGCAAGCAGCATGGAAGTTAGTCCCTGCGTTGTGAAGCCAAACAGGTGTTAGAAGACTGCATCGCTGTGCATGTGCTGCTTCTTTCAAATGATTAGTGAAGGATTTTCTGTTATATGAATGTGAGATACGATGTGATTTAAAACTAAATAATAAAAGCAGAATGATGCGTGTGCAGGGAAGCTTTCAGAATCCAGAAAACAACCAAGCTTGTTAAACTAGGTGCTAATGCATGAGATCATTTTTGACTTTACAGGCATATATTTTTGTTGTTGTACAGGCGTTGTGTGGAGCAGTTTTGATCAGTCGGTATCCTACCTGCTGTAGACATCTCACTTTAGAGAATTAAAGAGACAATGGCAAACAACTACCCTACTACTATCCCTTTATTGAGATGGACTCAAATAGTTAAAAATACCACTTTCAAAACAAAAGTATTTTAAATAATTTATTTAAACATTAAACTATCTCAAATTGATGCGAAAGAAAATGCAATTATAAATGTTTAAACAGTTTATAATGGTGCTGGCAACTTTATATGTTTTCTGGAAAAGTTGAAAAAATAATGTTTAGTTAAGATTTGTTGATGTGTGGAGATGCATTTAGAGAAAATCCTTTTAGGTGTTAGTAATGGCCGGTGACTTAAGGTTGGAGAAGAAGCGGCTTACCTTGGTGCCGTCTGCTGGGTTGTGTACAACGGTTGTCTGGGCTTCCTGGGGGGAGGTAGGAAACACTTTACCATGCAGGGATGGAATGGATGAGGGGGGGAAACCAACACAGAATACCAGCATATTCCACGATGAAATACCATCTCATTTGCACAAACAAAGCACAACAGCTACAGCACAGAGATGTGGACCATTAACGTTAGATCAAGAAGGCCCTTAGTCAATTTGTAACCCCTTTGTTGATACTGAGGCCAACAATAGGATTTTAGTTTCCGAAATGCACAAAAACAGCCAAGAACACAGCTAAACACAACTTCACCTGTCAAGACCACGACCGAGGAGGAGGGTTCTGTAGTTACTGTGTTTAGTGAAGGTGTCGTGATCTAAGTATTAAAATGAGCTGTTACATTTTAAATTCATTTATTTTGCTGCATTGAATCATAAACAGAACCCAAAAGTGTAATTCAAAGAAATTACCTTTCAAGATTTAGTTCCTTGCAATAAAAGTACCGTACTTGCTGCCGTACACGGCGCTTTACCATATAAGTTGCATCTATTATGCGTCGCTGCTGATGCATCGCATTTGTTACACGTCCCCACTGACAACTCGGAAACGTGGGCCAGCGTTGCGCCAAAAATCGATTGGCTGCCAAATGGCGGCCGCGGGAGCGTGCACAGGAGGACTTTAACA